AACAAGCAATTGATAGTTGGTAAGTCCTCCTTCGTAGGTCCTGCTAATATGATGAACATTTGTGATAAAAACTATCAAGTTCTACTTCCATTCTTGTCTATTATATTGTGTCTTCAACTTTAATGTGCTGTTAATAATTTACAGAGATATTTGATGTGGTATAAAGAGAATAAACCTTAAACCACATTGCAATATTACAAATCAGGCATCTTTATATGTTAATGGTTCACTTGTTAAAAGGTAGAAACAGAATGAACTTCCAAGATGAGTGATAATTAGCTTCAATTCACTTAAGAGAGTTACTTTTCTCCAACTCTTGTGAACAACCAATTAATGTTGCACCTTTTGTTATGTTCAATTCCAATGCTGAAAAGTGTTCTCGCAAGTCTTCATAAGCCAATTAGAGTGTCTCTATTTTCTGACAATCAATCAGATCATTATTCTATAATACTTCAAATCTTTCTGCGGCATCAACTCCTTGCCTTTTATGTATGCTTGTACTTCTCTTGTAAACTTGAAGTTTAGAAGTTTCATCTAGTTGGGTAGTTATGAATTGGACTGTGAGATGCCTGGATATTACTAGATTAACAACTTTTAAGTTTAATTGTTAGTTGACAAAATCTTCTTTGTTTCAGTCCTGTTGATTGCATTCATTGGACTTCTGCTGCACAACTATCATTGCTGGAAGATGAAATGCGCAGAGTAGAAAGAGTAAATGTAAGGAAAATAATCAGTTTATTTACTTTCATCCTAGTTTTATTTTAATCTTCTTATCTTATGTCACCATTTTGAAATCCATAATTCTGAACAGTTTTAGTAGCTCCTTGGCGTTCTAATCAATTTGAAGTCTGTCTAGCTATCTAAAACTTCTTTAACCAATAGAAATGCATTCTCTACCTTTTGTTTCATTTGGAACTTCAGTGGCTAAAAGTGTTTTGTAAATTGGTCAGGTCGCACTGATGCTTGCAGGTATGGGCTCATCAGCGGATGTTTTCAGAATGGTATGCTACTTTTTCTTTGTAATACAAACTGTCTATTATCTGAATATTAGCAATATCCACTTAATGACTTGAAGCCATTTTCAAATGACTTGCTTCAGTTCACTTAGCTTATGCGCGTTGATTGAACTACACTTTGTGTGATATAAATATAAAAAAAGACTAACAATTGGAGAAGTGTATTCCTTTGAAGCTCTTGAAACACTTTCAGATGTAATCAAGAATCAAATTGCAAGAAGAATGTAGAAATATTTGTTACACTTGGTTCTCAAACTCATCTGCTTAGGTGATCTTAGGATGAAAGTTATTTATAGCCTAGCTTCATTGTCGCCATAACTAGCTTTAGCAGTTTATTCATTTATGCTTATTAATGTGGCAGGCAAGTGCTCGGTGGCAAAAGAGGCAATCAAAAGTCTTGGTAGGAACTCATATTTTTCTTCACCCTCAACTAATCTAATCTTTCATGAATAATTTTTCTGTCTACTACTTGTTTTTCTGATATCATCCTTTCCATCACCTACATTGTAAAGGCACATGAAGTCACGAAATAGAAAAATTCAAATTTCAACAACAAAAGAAAAAATAAATAGGTAATTCAAATGTCAACTGAAAAATTTTATTGCTTCAACCAAGGTGGTTGGTGTGAGTGGTTCGGCACTCTCATTCCTTAAGAGAAGGTCAGGGGTTCGATCCCTGCTCTCGTATGGAGTCACCACTTTGGCCAGCACTTTACCCCTTACGGGCCGACCCGGTGTGAGCGGGGATTAGTCTGGGTTGTGGTTAAGGCTTAAAGGTGCCACCCATAGTTGGGGCCCATCCAGGACCACCTCGTGGTTCAAACCAAAAAAAAAAAAATTTTATTGCTTCTGGGACATTTCCTTCAAGTCATCTTGGCGGTTCGAATATGATAGAAAACAACAATAATATCACATACTTTTGAGATCTATGATTTGAAGATCTTCAGCTAGAAAACTTCAATAATATGACATACTTTTGAGACCTATGATTTACTCTAAGATACCTTTTATTACAGCCTTTTGAGTTCTAAAACTTTTTCAAGACCAAATTCATCATTTTGTTATATATTAAGATTGCATATATAGAATTGAAACGTTTACATGAACTTAACAAATTTGGTGACCTAAGCAACAACTAAGTATATTGCTCCCAAAATACTAATATGAGAAGTAAATCTCAATAACATGCCAGGATTGATGAATGCTTTTGACCATACATAGGAGTGTTTTTAAAAAAAGTCAAATTTGAGTGGGA